ACTTGAAAAATGATTCAGACATTAAAAATAATATTAGTAATCAATTCAAAAGGCACACTTCAAGGTTTTGATTGAGACCACAATTCAAGTTAAATCAGTGTTTTGAAAACCGACCCGGAGGTCAACCCGTTTTGACCTCCGGGTCCCGGTTTGACCGGTTTAACCGGTTAACCCGTGAAACCCGCCGGTTCAATCAAATATCCATAAAGATAATGTTGTGCAGCACTTCACACCAATCTTGCACTGGTTCCATTGGTCTGCAGTCTGGTTCCTCTCTAGGAGGAACGAGATTCGAGCCCAAGTGATTGCAAAATTTAATCAAGATGTCTCTACCCTCAACTCATAATATATTAAATATAATTTTTATAATTAATTTATACAAAAAACTGTAAAAATTGATTTTAAATTAATTAATTAAAATTATCTACATAAATGTTAATTTTTATAATTTTTTTATCTAAATTAATTATAGATAAATGTTAAAAATTTATATTATTATATTTTTTATCTATAATATATTAATGAGTTTTTCTTACTAACTTATATAAAAAATTATAAAAATTAATTTTAAATTAATTAATTAATCAATTAAAATTATTTGTGTTAATAGTGTTAAAATAAATATTAATTTTTATAATTTTTTATATAAATTATTATAAAAATTACATTTATTACACTTGAATTTATATGTTTAAAATATAAATTAAATAAATTTTATATTAATTTTAATATAAAAATCAAGAATACTCATTTTTACATAAGAATTCAATACTTGGATTCCTTAAACGAAAATTTCAATTATTTTCTTCTTCCAATAAATGAACTAAAATTTTAAGCAAACGAAATCAATTCTGAAGCTCAAGTGCCAAAAGTTATGAAAAGGTTACTTGATGTCAGGTGTTCAAACCTTGGAGGTGACAAATTTAAGTTTGGAAGTTTGACCCGCCGTGGAAGGAAAGAAAAAAAAAAAAAGAAGGGAAGTTGCGGTGTGGTGCAGTTCGCCCGGCGGGTTTACCGGGTCTGCCGGGCGGGACGGGTCAACCGGGTTTAACGGTTCTGGACGGTCCGATCGTCCAAACGGGTTTAGACATTCATCCGACCCGTTTCAGCAACCGGGTGACGGTTGGACCGGTTCAACCG